GTGAACCTTTTCTGTCTCTGTTAAGCACCTTACTTGCTTTGCCAACAAATATATGAATAAAAGGCTATCTAGCTTTACAGGTGAGAAATGTTTTTATAATCTCTTTTGCTGTGGAAGGTATGTAGATACCATAGCAATGGGTATGGTAAGAGCACATGCATAAAACCCCCCACACCAGCTTCCTGAAGCAATGGAGGTTGTTTTTACATGACGCAAGGGCAAATAAAAGGGAGTGGAAGACTGGTATCTTTAGTGGGCACGTAAAAGTCTGTGGCAAAGTATCTGACTGGATGGGATGTATATAATCAAGCTGGTAAAGAGGAAAAAAAAATCAAGCAAAATGGGCTGTCATGGGGCGGGAAATGCCAGTTCCTCAGAATTACTTGACAAGTATTGTATTTGTAAAGTTTTCCATTTCAGTGAACTCCACAAATACAGGCCAGGCTATGGTGGAAACCTGCCTGGTTTCTTGCAAGCATTCCTGGCATTTCTGAAATAAAATATCACGGAGTTTCTGTTGTGTGTCAGTGTGAGTTGACTGTTGCTCCAGATTAATTTTACTTTTTTTATTAAAAAAAATTCTGAAAAATTGTATTGCAGAGTGGAAAGTCCTGGCCAGTCCTGTTGCACACCTACAGCTCTCCTCATTGCCTAGGTTTTGTGAGTTTGTATTAGCTTTTTTATGAGGTAGCAACCTGCTTCCTAGTGAAGTCTTCTATGTGTTCATAGGGTTTTCCTTGAGGTTAGGCTTGGGATTAGGATTGAGGATTTGACAAGGATTTGTGAAATAGAGGTACAGCTACTGACAGAAAATCCTGTGTCGGTAGCACTGCATGAACCCCAGTTAGCAGGTGCACGTAAAACTTCTTGGTTACAAGTTTAAAAAAATCACTTAATAGAATTATAACTAATTTGTGATGAACAACATTTCCTCTTTTCCCTTTTCTGCTTTTTCCATGTGCAATACAAAAGTCTTTCAGTTCCAGCTTGAATAGGTGATAAAAATGACCCTAGCTACATCTTACGAGGAAAACGGCTATTTGCACCAGAGCTCCTCAACATAAACTTCTTTTTCCTGTTTTGAGTAGATTGGTCAACAGGAACAAATAAACTACTAAGGAAAGTTGAAAGAATCTAATTAAACTATAGTGCAACCTCATTATAAACCTGGGTTACAACAATCCCAGCAGCAGGATCATTTCTTTTTTTTTCATTATGATGATGCAGCCGATCCCTTTTATAGCAAACACTTTTTAATGATGTTTTCTCCTGTTCCCATGGAGGTTTGTTATGACTAGAGATTGTACTTGCATATAAAGTGCAAAGGGCATGGAATGTATGTGGAGTGAAATTTCACTATTTTTTTACTTTTAATAATAATTTTATGATTTTTAAGCAGATGTTTATAGTCCTAACTATGGAGTAGCTTGGTGCTTCTGTAAATGCCACCTTAAAAAAAAAATAAAAATAAAAAAATAGAGCAGTATGATTTCCACCTTTCCTTTCCCATTTTGATTAACCAGCTTTCTTGAAGCTGGTATCCAGTTTGGGTTTCATTAGTTCATTGTAATCCAATTGCCCCAAAATGTGTAGTGTGAGGGCAGAGGTGGGGGGTCTAACTACCCTTTTCTAGAACTCCCAACTAACTTGATGAACATCCTGTATGACACAGAATTGACCTAATCATACTGGTTAGGAGCCAGGGTTCTGCATAATAGCACAGCAAGAGGTAATCGGGTAATCTTACATTTATCAAGGTCTTTTATGTGCTTTCCAGTGCATAATTTATCCCTAGGAAAATACCAAAAGAAAATGAATTAAGCTATGCGGACCTTCTTAGTCTTACTGGCATCTGTTTTAAAACTGTAAATTAAAGTTTAATTAACTGGTAGGCTTTTATCTTGTATGCAGATACTGCCTCCAGAAAAGAAGCTGACTGATGAACTAGATGCCATTTGGTGACTTAGCGTAACAAGAATCGAGGCATTTTTGCTTTTTTGTGTGGAAGTTATCGTGTTGACTTGGACCTTAATTGCTCCTGAATCAGTACAGCTAAAAAAAGAAACTGACGGTTGCACACTTTCTAGATTTACACGATTCTTCCATTAAAAAGGGGCAGAAAAAATACTTCTAGTAAAAAGGTGAAGTAAGTCAATATCCACTGTAACTAGTGGTACACTTCTTTGCAGTTACATCAAAGGTTATTTTGGTATTCATTTGTCTAGCGAGAAGTGGAGGAAATTCTAGGAATGTTTGGCTGACTTACCTAGCCCTTTGTGCTTTTTCTTTTATAGTATTTAAATTTTGGAAGCTTGCAGCATCTAGTCTCCCTGTGCACTCAAGAAAAAGGCTTCAGAACAATCCCTTTGCTGAAGTCTAATCAATATGCTTTGGTTGGAAGCAGAAATTCGGTTTCACTTCTGCAGAGCAGTTGGGTTAAAACTACCTGCTGGAAACAGCAGAGCTACATTCTGTGCCCTGACGTCAGCAACGTACGATCCCAACGCTGTCCTGCCATTGGCCAAAGTGCTGCTTTCGTTAAAAGATTAGCTTTTTCCAGCTGACTCTCATTTGGGATTGGGGTTTAGCTCAGAAATCAGGTTGCTGGTGGGGCTGGGGAGAAGTTAGAGCTGCAGATGAGAGAGCTCGGGAAAAGCAGTGTAGTGGGGGAGGGTTAACATACTGCCCATGCATGAAAGAACTGATCTGTAATTTGGTGATGCATGCCAGGCAGGCACTGAAGTCCGGATTGGATTGGATCTGATCTGATCTGATCCCTGCATGGATACAAGCAGAGAGAGGTCTTGTTTTGTTACTGGGGTTTTTTGTGTGTGTTTGTGGAAAAGAGCTGCTAGTTGAAGGTCTTCTGTGGAAGTTGGATTTGTGTTTTCTCTTTAATATTCTTATGGAAACAAAGTCTCCTTTCTCATTTAAGAGCGAGAGATGAGGAGTATATATCGGAGTGGGGGTGGGCAGGTGCCTTGATCTGGATTTTCATTGCCATTGTTGTGAAAGGAGACTAGCTCTCCCAGTACTCCAAGCAAGGTACATGAAGGCAGTTTTAATTCCTACTCAGTAATACTTGTATAGTATTTTGTAGTGTTGTGCAAGCAAACTGCAGTAGTTAGCCATAGGGCCACATTCGGTCATAGCTCAAGCAAGTCACTTGAGACCACTGGTGTTGCGTGCTCCATGCACAAAAGCTGATGTTGGCTCACAAGATTCCCAGCTGAGCTAGCAAAAAGACTCCGGATGCTGCAGCTTTAACATTCAGGCCCACAGAATGAATGCTGCTATCTGAATCGGGTGTTTGGTCAGCCACCCCCATGATGCAGTCACCTGGGTCAAGGTTCAGGTTTAGTTTAGATCGGCTGAATCCAGGCACTTGCTGGTTTGTCTGGGAACAGTGAAGTTACTGTATGCCGGCTGGTCAGCATGAAATGGCATTGGAAACTGCAGTTGGTGCACTTTTTTTGTGGGAGGTGTGGTTCAGAGGTGAACAGAAAATGGCTCTAAGTAGCACCTCTCCCAATGTCAAACCATCCTGAAGTGGAACTAGACATCAAAAATCTTGTCAACTGTCACAGTTGCACTCCTGCCTGTGCATTAGGATTGACCATTGGCAAGGCTGTAGCTCTTCACATACCCCTCCTAGCAAGCAGTTTATTAAACTGTTTTTGGCAAATGTGCTAGCTGTTGTACCACACTAGACTGAGAATAGTACTTGTTTCTAAATGTTTTAGAGTTGGTCTCATGAAAAGCTTAAATTCATTTTAGGCTTAAGATTGCATAGCCCTGGGAAGGGCTTTGAGATGCATTAACAACGGTATTTTAGACTTCTATTAGTTAGTTGAGCCCCAAATGGCAGCAAATGATGATGCATCAGCTTAGCTGTTACTGTGCAGGCAGCCTAGTATGATTATATACACCTTCATTAAACTAATACGGTGCAGTATGTAGGAATTCAAACTGACAATAGGGAAAGTTGCCCTCACTGCCTATTTGAGAATGCAAGTAAAAGATCTCTGCATTGAATGCACTACAAGGATTTTTCACTTGGTTACACTTGCCCTGTCCTGTACTCGGTTAGTTGGTTAAAAACAAACTAATCTCTGTCTGAAACCAGTTCTGTTCTTTACTGTCTGTGCATTGATACCCCTTTGGTTCTCAGCTTGGAGAGCTGATGGTTTGGTTAGGGCTAAACTGGTCTTGAACTAGCCTTCCTCCCCTCCGGCTCGCTTGTTTGGCAGTTTCCAAGACCAAGTTGAACAGACACTTGGCTGAGATGGTTTAGTTAGGGCTGATGCTGACTTGAGTGAGGGGCTGGACAAATTACGAGACATGCCCTCATGAGGCCCCTTCCAGCACTGCTTTCCTCGGACCACCATCCTAAACATTGTGCTGTGGGTGGAGGATGGGCACCACGCTCCAATTTTTCCCTTTGCTCTCACCATCCAGAAAGGCTGGCCTGGCATAGGAAGGAGGGCATGCCTGCATTTTTTGAAAAGCTGTAGCAAGGATCACCGCGCACACAAAAAGTGCAGCTTCTACAGCAGCCCCCGTACTCTTTCCAAGCTGTGTCCTTAGAGCCACAGTCTAGCCCTTCATACATTGTTTGGCTATGTGGTGAGCAACTCATTTTTCCAGATTATCATGATTTAGCTTGAGTTCTTAGAGCAAGAGTTTGCGCTTCAGTGATCTTTCCCCCACATTTATTCCATTTAGAGAGGAGCTCAGCTTGCTTGTCATATGTTGGGATGGTATAAAGGACTTCCTCTTTAAATTATGAAACCCATTCATTTTGAGAGAGAGAGAATGCATCCGAGTTCAAGGGGTCTGCCCCCCCATTAGTCACTGGCAGGTTTTATAACTTTTCCTTTGCTAACACACACACATCATAAGGCAAAGCCAAAAATGCAGTTTAACTAAATACCTTGACTCTGTATTAACCTCTAAGGTTCTGGTAACGTGGGGTAAAACAATCTGTTCTTCTTTTTCAGCTCTTCCTCCAAAACCTCCAAAACCAATGACTCCAGTCAACACAAATGGGATAAAGGACAATTCCAGTTTCTCTTTGCAGGATGCTGAATGGTACTGGGGGGACATCTCAAGGTAAAGAGCATTCATATTTGGAGTAGAATGAGCTTTTTGAGCTCTGCTCCCCTCTTCAATCTGTTCATGTTCTAACAGCATTTCAGAGCAGGAACTCATTCAGGCCCAGATTCAGCAAAGCATCTTATTGTGCTGAAGTACTTTACTGAATTGAGAGCAATGTTTTGCATTAATTTGCTCAATTATCATTAGTTGGAGAACAGTAGCTCACAGTCTTGATGCTGGAAAGCTAAGTTCTTAAGTCATGCCACAGAATTAAAGTTGCTTTTAATGTAGCTGTTGTGGGCATGAAGAAAAGCTATCCAGAATATATTGGCTGAAATAATATTCTCGGATCTAGTACTTTTCTTTAAGAAGATGTTTTTAATACTAAATAACTGGCAATCGATTTGTTTTCATATTATTGAATAGAAATATTGTCTGCAAAGTTGTTATGGTGCATAAGCTTTTAACCTGGGGGCGTCAAACATAGCCCACAAGCCAGGTCCAGTCTGTGGAGTCAGTGTCTCTAGCCTGGTGAGCTACTGGTGGTCACTGGGTGGTGTGGCAAGGGGCTGAGGAGCGTGACCTGCTGCAGAATCTGGGGCCTTTCAGCCCAGGTGGACATGGCCATTAGTGGCAGGAGAGTGAGCAAGGGCTGACCTAGCTGTGGTTGCACATTAGCCACTTTGCCCATCACTGTGGCAGCCCCAGCTCCTCAGCCAGTGGGCCCCACAGCCCTGTACCAGAGCTGTCGCTGCTGTGTGCTCCGTGCTGGAGCCAGAGCTGCTACCCCAGCATGAAACACGTGTTGGCAGCTCCAGCTCCTGCATGGGTTGTACAGTGGGAGGAGGAGCTGCCACCACTGCATGCACCAATTGAGTACTGGAGCTGCTGCTACCACCAGTCACCCCTTGCCCTGGGCTGGATCCAGCGCTCTAGGAGCCCCATGGTGTAGATCCGGCCTGGGGCAGTAGCAGAGTTTGACATCCCTGCTTTAGACTGTCAGGACTGCAGCACCTACTGGATTAGTCTAAACCTTTTCCCTAAGCCAGCCACCTGTAACCTACTTGGCAATTTCCTTTGTGCTTGAGAAAAGAAGTGGGCTATGAAACAGGCTCAGAATGTGAAAGATCAATTATTTGGCAGACTAAGCTGGGAAGTGACTACCTTTCTACTGTCGAGTTAATTCCTTGGCTATAGTCGTACAAAAGCGCTGGGATGTGGAATTGGTGGAGGGAAACAAAGGTGGGCCTAGGTTCTGAGCAGAAAGGTTGAACTCTATTGTGCATAATATTCAGCCTTCTTTCCTTTCACATGATGGCAAGTGTTTGGCAGTAACTTTGTTATCCCCACTAACTGCTTGGAGCCCTAACAAAGGGAAATAATCTTCCAATCCAACTTGTACTACCATTTCTCAAATAATCGCATTCTAAGCTGATATGAATAGGGAATGCCACAACTGAGGCATTTAGTGAATAATGCTAAACCTTCATTGCAAAATCCTGTGGTCTCACTTCACTCACACTGGTTCTGCATAGGTTTTGCTCCACTGATGTTACTAGAGCCATTGATCTGGCTGTAAATATCAGGATGAGACCCAGTGCATATATAGGCTATGCCTGTTGGCCTTCTGGGCCCACTGCTAGGGTCTCCTGTGTAGAGGAATTGAGATCCTTAGTCAAGACCTTCTAGTGTGAGCTTTGTCCTCAGCCCAGTGCACTGTTCTAGAGAATGTATGGCAACCTTTCCAGCTAATTTTGGCCGTTAGAGATGAATACAAACTTTTATGGCTCAGGATTATGGGAAAGAATACTTCTGTATTGAGTGCCATCGATATCTGATGATTGGAATTGCTCTTCTCAATGGACAGTCTTTTAGGGTAGACAACTGCAAACAAAGGATGCTTGAAAGCAAAAAAAAAAAATTCCAGTAGCAACATCTGCACTAAAATATTTATGATCCCATTCACATTTTTTAAATGAATTCCATTTCCTGCCTTTATGCATGCTGTTGGGGGTACGTGCTTCCAGTCTAATATTTCTAAGGTGCTTCTAAGATTCCTATGTCAAAGGTACAATAAATAGGAAAATATGGCACGTAAAGCAGGTATCCTGAAAGTTTAACTAATGCTTTAAAACTCGTTTTTTTTTTTGTTTTTAAAATGTTGTTTTTGGAGCTGTTACCAATTCCATAAAAGCCTCTCTTACTTAATTAAGAGTCTGTGACCCAATTATCCCCTTGCTTGGGAGTATTGTAAGTAGGGAGTAATTCAGCTGAAGCTAGTGGAGTTACAGTGGTCAACACTGCTGTAAATGAGAGCAAAGCTATGCTGTGTCAGCAATGAATAGCCTGAAATTCACAGCTGTGTGATAGTCTGGTCATCTGGAGTGACAATGCCAATGCCAGTTTCTTACCATGTGGGATCTGACTTCACAAAGGGCACCTATTTCCAGTGTGGATTTAAAAGTGAGCCAATACAGTGAAAGGTTGTAAACTTGGGTGAGTTGTGAGGCCCAGATGCTTCTGTTGCTTAAACATAACTTCCTTTCTAAACAGCAGTTGAGTGCAGTTGCTGTTTTTTGCTGAAACCGTACAAGTTCAAACCTGCTTAATATTTCTATTTGGCCTTTACGGTCACCTTATCTCCTATAGAGATCCTGTGCTTGAAAGGGGTGTCTTAAAAAAGCAAACATTCAGTCCTTAAATTGCATAATATTTTGAAGGCAAAATAGGAAACCTAACACCTTACACACCCTGGCTTTGACCCCAGTCTGAATGTCTGTCTGAAAGTGAATCAAACTTCTACCACTTTTAATTTTACCCTTCTGTCAACCTTTCATTTCTCCAGAGAAGAAGTAAATGACAAATTACGAGACATGCCAGATGGAACATTCTTGGTGCGAGATGCATCGACCAAGATGCAGGGAGACTACACTCTGACATTGCGGTAAGTGTTGGGGCTTTCATAGGGATTTCAGGTGCCATGCTAGGATGTTTATATTAAACATTTACGGGAAGCTATTTCACAAGGAGTCTTAGTAACACTTTCTTGTAAATTCAGGATTAAGCCTTTGAAACAAGCAAACAGATGACCAACTGCCATGTGTCTTTCCAGTGTTTAGGTGGACATTACTATATGAACTAGCTCTCTAGTTGTAAGCGTGGTGAAAAGGAGTTCTGTAATGTGTTGAAAGTCCTAGTAGGAGGGAATGGAGTCTGATCTCACTCTAGAGTATAATTCTATAGAATCCTTGACTGTGTTTACCAAAGGTGGAATTTGCCATATCTTAGCTCTGTGGGGTAAATGTTTGCCTTTCCTTGGAAATATTAAAATCCCCTAGAGCAGGGATCAGCAACCTTTAGGAAAAGTGGGCGGACATAATACCACTCACTCCGTAACTTCCAAACAAGTTCGGGCTTTTTATATGGCTCCCTCGTTGGCCCTCGAGCGTCCATTCTTCCGGAGAATTTCTAGTTAAGCTACATCTTAAATTCACTAAATGGGTCCCAGAATGTACATGGCAAGTGACTTTTTTTACTTCGTTTGAACATCAGGAAATACTGAAGTTTGTGGAGCCTGTAACTTATTCTTTATATACTACTGAATATTAGGTACTTTTCCTTGAAGTGAAAGTAAAAGATTGACTAGTTTTTCAGGTTCTTATCTTAGAATTGCTCTGTCGTCTCCATGAAGAATGTTGGTATGAGTGGCCACAGTCTGTTGGGAGGAGATAACGTGCACAACAAAGCATCTAAGCTAGTATTTTGCCTTCCAGGAAGGGTGGCAACAACAAATTGATCAAGATTTATCATCGGGATGGAAAATATGGTTTTTCTGATCCACTAACATTTAATTCTGTCGTGGAGCTGATAAACCACTACCGCCATGAGTCTCTTGCTCAGTACAATCCAAAGCTTGATGTGAAGTTGATGTATCCGGTATCCCGGTACCAACAGGTGAGGTTTCCAGATAGAGGCAAACAACTGATAGCTGATACATGTGCTGTTCATTGGTTTTCCTGGTCATAAAACTTTGACTTCTTTGTTTAGAGCCAGGGCTTTTTAAGCTGATTTTTTTTTTTTTTTTTTTTTCCCCCCCCACCCCCCCCTTCCCTACCCCTATTCCCTCCATGCTATGCAAGCATCTGAGCAAGACTCTTCGCAGTGTTAGAGCAGGTTTCCAAAAGGTCTCCGTGTCTCTCTCTAATCAAAAAAAAAAAAAAAAGCTTTGATCTCTTTTCCTGCCTGCATTTTTCCTTATTGTCCCCCTTTTTCTAAGGGGCCACTAGACAGCTCAAGACCTTAAGTATTCATTTTGGTTTAATTAATATTATTTGGTGCTGTTCTCAGAGTTCCATATTCCTGAGTACGTGCCTTTTTAACGATGGATTTTTTTAATTTATTTTTTTGCTTTGCCAGATCTGGCCATCTCTGCCCTGTACTCTTAGAAGCTTAATGTAAAAATAGTTGCAAACTGAATCGCGGAAATAGGAGTATTTACTAGGCAGACAAGCAAGTAATGCTTGAAGAAATAACTTTAACTAAAGACTTGCTTGCTTGCTTCTTCTCTGGCATGTGTAGGATCAGTTGGTAAAAGAAGATAATATAGATGCGGTTGGTAAAAAGCTTCAAGAATACCACTCCCAGTATCAGGAGAAGAGTAAAGAATATGACAGACTCTATGAAGAATACACCAGAACATCACAGGTTGGTTCCTAGACTGTCTGGTCATTACAGCAGCTGTCTGACAAACATAACTTTTATCCCTAGGAAGACAGAAAAACAGGTTACTAAAAGAAAATGATTGGCAAAGCCACATGTAGTAAACAACCTGAGGAAATAAAGACAAAGCCTAACCAAAAATACTTTTGGTTTTTTGTTTTGTAGTGGGGCAGGTCAGTTTCCGAGTTATCAATTACATTTCCTTTATTGACCAAATGTTTTATTCTCTGAGCTTTTGTACTATGGCATAGCACAGTGGCAGTGGGGGGAGAGTATCAGCCAGTAATCACACTGTCGTAGGCAGTGCCTGGCCTGTGCGTTCCTTCAGCAGCTGGCCAAGGGTGTCTCTAGGCACCGTATGCCCCAGTGCCTTTTATATAAGAATCAAGGGCTATGTCTAGACTAGAAAGTTACTGTACTTGACAGCAGCATGCTCAAACACGCCTTGCTGCTTAGCATGAGCGGCCTGCTGA